AGCCCAAGTGTCTCACCATGTGGCCTTGATCTCATTGTGCAGTAACCAGGGAACACAATGTAAAGTTCACTGCTCTATGTTTATTTTGGCATTAATTCTACCACAAAGAACATATAGGTATGTTTAACAAAGCATAAAATCAGAGGATAAGGGCAAAAGGGAGAACAAAATGTGTTATACAGGGTTCTCATTCTCAGAAAGGAACAAATAAATACTTTTATAGGCAGAAATATTTTTCTGGCACTAAATTCTACAAAAAATTTCTCATGAATGACTTTTCAAAAGGGGACATGACATGATGCAATGGACACGACTTGCATTGTATTTTACAGCAAACCCAGAAGTGTACTTCACAAGACCAATGTGTGGTCCTCGTAAGCTGATGATTAAAGACATCTGCCAAGCAGGAAATGTGACGGCCAGCAATGACGGATGTCAACAATACCAGCCCAATACTCCAACCAATTCCCTTTCTCCTTTTCAGAAAATAATCAGAGAAACTGAAACTTTTCCAGCTCTGAACCAGAATTCTTTACCTGTCCCATAAATAAGCTTTCAGAGGTTTGGAGCTGCTTGTTGCTGCCTCAGAAAGGCCTCAGCGCCTTTCTGGAAAGGTCTTCCTTCCACTTGAGGGCACCTGAAGTGACAAATGCCAAGCTCCAGTTAGACTTGTTTACGTGTCTCCCCTCCCCCGAGATCCAACCACAATGCAGCATTTCAACAGTCAGAAAATCTCAAAATCAATAGACCCCCAAATATAGACATTCCTTTGGGTACCATTTCAAGAGTCAAGTTCATAGCAGCAACCAACTAAATTTAAGCTTACCTGAGGCTTCTGTGGACTCCTTCTTCTCTTCCTTGCAATCTTCTTCTTTGAGTAAATCTTCCATATCTTTGGTCTCATCAATTAAGTTTCTTCACCCCAGTTTCTGACCACTGCCCACTTGAGAAGGCTCTGAAATCTTTTTCCTAAAAGTGCCCTCATTTTCCAGGTCCTCTTCCTCTGCACTGAGTGAAGAGCTTTCTTCAGATTCATCTTCAGATGCAAATGCCTCGTCAGCTGTGCAATGCCCAGAAACGATGAGGTGAGGGCTGCTTTCTTCATCGACAAAGACTTCTCCAGATTTACAGGGTCACTCTGGGGATTAGGTGGTGACAGCTCTGCTTTACTACCTTCTCCAACAGTCTTTGATCCTGAAATGCCCCTCTCTCCTGCAGTGCAGTCCTCTTCCTCACTGCTTTCCCCAGCTTATTCCACTTCTCCTTCTGCTGAGCTCCCCTCAAGCTCATCATCACAGTCAGCAAATGCTGGCAAATCTACTTCACTGTCTTATTCCAACTCTTCAAGCTTCCCTCGTTTGATGCCCTTAGCAGTCATATACTGATCAGTCACCTCAGCGTTTTCCTCCTCTTCTGCTTCCTCATCACTAGAGATGGTTTCCAATCTGTCATCTTCAGAAATTTCATCTTCATCATCACTATCTCCACATCCATCTTCATCTGCAAAAATGGCTTTCTGACGCATTCGATCAGTTTCAAGTCCATTTGTTTTTCTTCCTTTGGCATCAACAGCCTACATTATTACCAAGGAAATGCAAATGAATTCAATTTGCAGGTTCATCAGCAAATCTAGAAATGACAATATAGTCAATGAAAATACAAAGAAATAGAAAATGTCAAAGAATTGTTTAGGATGACATAGCAGAGGTAAAAAATGATCTGATAAACACTGGAAGAGTTAATACACAAACTCAGGCGTGGTTCCCTAACAACACACTTCAAAAAATATAGAGAGAACAAATGAATAACCCTTTAAAAAGATTAATCTAAGTTTAGAAAACAATTGCTCAAAAAGGAAGTTAGTGTTTTGTAGATCTTTTGGAAACCTCATCAATTTCTAAGCTAAAAACACATGATCCTTAAGAGAAATGGCTAATTCCAGGCCCAAAGTAGAAAGAAGATAAAATGAGCCTGGATCCTCTTGTTCTGTCAGAAAGTGAGACATGCTCAAAGGCTAACAGAGACAGTTGAAAGGTCATAGGAGACAGGCTGAAGGCTCCCGCAGCCGAATCTGGGACAGCATAGGCATCAGAAAGAATAATGATAGTGACAGAAAATAACCCATGGAATAAAACGCAAGTGCATTCGTCACCAGTGATACCGAAATAAAGGGGAGACGTGAAAGTTCTTTGTTAAAAATGCCGGCTAACAAACGTAGGAGGACTGACAGAGGAAGAACATCCATTTCAAGTCACCAGTGCCATAACTGATAACGCAGAATCATCAGGAGGCTAAAATCACAGGACGAAACACAACTGCATCAAGCTGTTTAACATAGCACAATATATAAAATTATAAAAACATAAATTAGGAACAACTAAAAATCGTACCATAAGAATGGGTAAGTTAGAATACAGCAATAATAGGCGAGGCTAATCCAAGGATTTTGGGAGGCCAACGCGGGAGGATTCCTTGGGCTGAGGAGTTCTAGACCAGCCTGGGCCACATAGTGATACCTCATCTCTAGAAAATAGTTAAAAAAATTTAGCCAGGAGTGGTTGAAGGGACACAGGAGACAGGCTGAAAGCTCCCACACTCCTGCAGTCCCAGCTATTTGGGGGGTTGAAGAGAGAGGATCACTTGAGCCTGGGAGTTCAATGCTGCGGTGAGCCAAGATCATGCCACTGCACTCCAGCCTGGGAGACAAAGTGAGACCTTGTCTCAAAAACAAACAAAAAGAATATACCAATAATAACAAAATAATGATGACATAAAGACTGTATAGAAAAAGAAAATTCTCAGAATATAGAAATAAAATTATGTATTTAAACTGTAACTATATTAGAAGGCAATATTCTTGTAGACAAGGACGACTAGAAGGATATGCAAAAATGAAAACAGCTCATAACACTCATTATAAAAGAGTGATCTTTCAGCGAACACTTCATATCTCTCAGGCACTATGCTAGGTAGTTTATGCACAGTGTAACAAATTACATACTAGATAATCTCAAAATTTTCAGATACATTTTACTGGGAGTCATAAATCAATACAACAAAACCAATGTTTTACAAACATCCACTATGTATAAAGGCATACAAATTTCCAAACCAGACTGAAAAAGAATTCACATAAGCCACACATCAGTGGAAGCCTACCCACAGGAGATAGTACAACATAATCTAAAAAAAACTTTCAGACCCAAAGCACATGGCTTCTTGACAGCCACAAACTCTCTGGCTCTGCTCTAGTGTTTTGGCCACCAAAAGAAAGCCAAGTGGCCTCAAGTGCCTTAAAAAACTAAAAGCAATCTACGGAAAATGGCATGGTATTTGAGGAATATTTGAGGTCTGTTGAAAAATGCATCCTGTATTTTATTTCAAGTAAATACTTTCTTGTAATGTCAGGTAAGTGAAGAGCACTCAGATACATGCACACACAAAGAAAAACAAATCAACCTAGAATGAATCCCACCAAAATGTGTTCTCATAGCAGAATTGCACATCTTCTGTAATATACCTTTTTATTAAAAATAGAAAAAAAGCAGACTTACACTTGATTATCTATATCCTCTGACCCAAGTGGCTTGGAATCAGAAAACAGCGTCACTTGACTTGAAGCCATCTTGGTATCAATGATGGAGTGGGTGGAGACGAGA